AATTCCAAACTCACTCTGTAAAATGTGATAAAATACTAACAGAAATACACTTTTAAATAATCCAAAAGATTCCACTACAACTTTCTGTGCTTAAGACCTCTGGAGAAAATATTATAAGTTATGTCCTGGGCCAGCGAAATAGCTCAGCGGACTAAGTGCCTGCTTAGGCAAGCACAGGGACCACATGCCATGCTGGCCCCAACCCCAGTCACACTGAGCCAGTGACCAAGACCGGCCGTGGCGGAGCACACCTGTAATCCCAGCGCTAGGAAGGCTGAAAACAGGAGGATCACTAAGAGTCCAAGCTTCCTAGTGAGACCCTGTACCAAATACATAAAAATAAATTAAGATAAAAGAAGTTATGTCCTAATAATTGTTAGTTAGTGGCTGCTTTTCATACACATTAGGACAGTTGGTGGTGCACACCCGCAATCCCAGGAGACTGAGGCAGGAGAAATACAAGCTTGAACCCAGCCTGAACAAGTTAGCAAGAAGACCTGGTCTCAAAAAAGAGAGAAAGGGCTGGAGGTGCAGCTCAGCTTGAGGACCCTGGGCTTGATCCTGAGTAACACACACACACACACACACACACACACACACACGGAGACTGATGGTAGAGGAGAGTCAGAGTTCAGACAAAACTTAGGTGAGGTTCTTTTCAGGTTCATTATTAGATGCACAAAAGTTACCTTTTGTGATCTCTCTCTCTGTCTCTGTCTGTCTGTCTGTCTGTCTGTCTGTCTGTCTGTCTCTCTCTCTCTCTCTCTCTCTCTCTCTGGTACTGAGGATGGAACTTTGGGCCTTATGCTTGCGAAGCAAATGCTTATGCATCTGAGCTATCTCCCTGCCCCCTTTTTTATTCTTTTTGGGACAAGGTTTCACTATACAGCTCAGGCTGGACTGGAGCTCCCTTTGTAGTCCAGGCTGGTCTCGAACTCGCAACGATCCTCCTGCCTCAGCCTCCCAAGTGCTAGGCCTACCTCACTACACCCAGCTTGTGACTATTTTTAAGACTCCGTAGAACAGTGCTTTTTTCGTGCTACACTGCCCCACAGGTGGCAGTTCTCTATACTACACAGAACAGGCCGTTTGTCCTCCTGCGTGGGGCCCCATGAGGGCTTCGCGTCTCCTCTCCTGTCCCGACTGCTCTGTCTACTTCCTTCATGGCTCATCTTCTGTCCGCCACCAGATTTCAGCCTTCCTCCTTTCCTTCACTCTGATTTCTCTCCCACGACTGACTGTCCTCTGGCAGCTGGACTCGCTTCCTGGGCCTGCCCCGCTCTGCCCTGGGTCCTGCTGAACACAGGCATGACTCAGCCTCCCCTCTGCACAAGCTCAGTCTCCTCATCCGGGTCCCAGCTGACGCCTGCACATGCTTTAGGTCTTAGGTAAGCTCACAGGCCCGGGAGCATTCCTGCCCTCCCAAAGCCCGGCTGGCCGCACACTTGCGGGGTTGCCATAGCTGCACCCCAGGACCCTCCTCGAGCTCCACCAGAACAGCTGAGTCAAGGCGGCAGTGCGTGCCCGCATCCACAGCACTAGTGTCCACAGCACTAGCACGTGCCAGGCCGCAGAGGACCTGGGGATCGGCCCGCGCTGCCGGCGTGAGGCTCTGCGAC